CTGATATATACATGCCAAAAAACACATATTATGATCATCTTGCTTCAAAATGTAGAGTTCAAATGGGATAAAACGGGTAAAAAAGTGATTATAATATTCCATATAATCTCGAAGATTCCACTAAATATGAGAAGTTGAGGGGTGGTTGTAATTATCCACACAAGATGGGGGTTTTCGTAATTTGTCCATACCTCAGGGGTACGTGGTTGTAATTTACCCAATAAACTATTACCCCAGCTACTAGTATCATCAAATCAAACCTTCAATTATTCAACAACATTATATGTATTTATATTTAATTTAATTTGATTTATGAAAAGAAAGTCCAATAATTATGCTGGACAAAGAATTCAGCCATTTTGGTCTAACATGAATAGCTCACACGTAGACATGTCACATAATTAAAATGATGTTTAATTAGAATGAAACATTATGTTAACTAATTAATTAATAGAATATTGTGATTTAGTAATTAAATATTTAATTATTACAATAAACAAATGCGTGTCTTATAAAGGAGGCCGACAGCAAGTATATAATATAAGCTAAGATGAGATAATATATAGTACAATAATACTTATGATGTTCCCTAATCCTATCCTCTTTTATATTCTACTCTAAATCACATGCCTTTTATTCCCCTAATGTAGCTATATATATATATATATATTTTTTTTTTGCTAATATGTATTTTTAATTTGATGACTCTTTAATTAATAAACCCATCAATATTCTATAGAGATGAAGCCAATTTTAAATATGGTGATATATATATATATATATATATATATATATATATATATATATACATATATATAGAGATATATATTTCCGTATTGATACATATCTAGAGAGAGAGAGATAGAGAGATAGAGACACACAGAGAGAGATCACATGAACCCTAGATCATAATAAATAACACCATATAGGTTCTGAATTATGCCAAAAATGATGTGATGTATGCCATTTCTGAGTTTGCACTTCTTTAATTTGTATCTCTCCGCTATCACTTAAATATAATTTGTATATTAAAACGAACTAAAAGTTGCAATTGAACCCCATCA